CTTACATTTTACTCCCTGAGTATCTAATAATGCAAGTCATTATTTTTCTTTACATTTGATACCTCTTAACAATTAGGTAATATTTTTTGTTTTGTTTTTTTTCTGTGGTGGTACTGGGGCTTGAACTTGGGGCATAGGCTTTTCCCCTTAGACTTTTCTGCACAAGACAGGTGCTCTAGCACTTGAGTGCCACTTCTGGCTTTTTTGGTGGTTAATTGGTGATAAGAGTTTCATGGACTTTCCTGCCCAGGCCGGCTTTGAACTGTGATCATCAGATCTCAGCCTCCTGAAGAGCTAGGATTATAGGTGTGAGTCACCACTGTCTGGCTTAAATCAGATTGTTTCTTATGCTGTAGTTATCTGGGGAAATCACTGAAAATCAGGCACATGTAATAGTAGAATTTAGAAAAGTCCAAACATATATAAATATATGACTATTTAATGATTAATAGCTAAGGGAAGATCTGAGATCACAAATGGTTATTATAAAATCTGATATCATCATGTACCAAATTAGTTTTCTATCTAAAAATAAAGAGTACTGTGTTGCATCTTGCAGTTTTTCAGGTGTCATGCATGTTCCTATACCTGATTCTCAGTCTCTGAGGTAGGTGAGCAGATATTTTTACCCTCATGTTGCAAAAGGGGAAAACAAATTCCAGAGAATGTGATAAATTTCTCCCCCCAAAGTTGTATATGACAGACAAGAGACTGTCACAGATTTTAACCCAAGTTCTCTGACACAAACCACACTAAATTCTGAGCCTGTTTCCTTAAATATGGAAGCTTCCCTACCCCACCCACCCTAGCCAAAAAATAAAGACGCTGGCAGGTATCAGGATGGGGGGCATGGCCAGCCCTTATCTAGCACTTAAGAATTTGCCTTGTGCCAGATGAGATTCTCAGTTATATATTAAAAAAAAAAATCCCTCTGGAGTTGCATGAAGCCTGTCAGTGTCTCTTGTTGCTAGAATTTGTGTTCCTCTTCTGTCTGGCCCAGCCATAAATCTGCCTTTGTGCAGGCTCCCAGATCTGCCCCAGCCCTCCATACAGACCCTTCTTTACCACACCATCTGCCCACCCAACAGCTGCCTCTTGTTCTCCATCTGGGCGCTGTGCAGGGTAGACACACCGCAGTCCTGGTTGAGGAGTAATTTTTCTCCTCAGTAAATTCAGAACCCCTTGGAAATAGTACCTTCAGACCCTTGACACATCAGTGCAGCCCAAGCTGAAGGCACGTGAAGATGAGGTAAATCTTGGATTGTCTCCTGCAAGTTCTTTTTTCTCTGGTTTTTAATAGGTCATAGAGGCTGTTGGGATTATGATAGCATGTCTGTGAAATTCCTTCACACCGCTGGACATTGTAGTGTGGTAGTTCACAATTTAAATACTGAAAGGAACCTCCATTCTTGTTTGTGATTTTGCTTGAAAACTCTGTGTAGCACATGCATGTGTGAGGGGATGAGAGGGAAATATAGAAAATGGAAAACAAGGATTTTTAAAGGGACTGTGGCCATTTAAAATATTTCCAATAAATAAAAAGTAATTATTAAAAAAGTATATGCACAGCATATAATATAGTATAAACTGCCTCAGTACCAGACTAATGTTTAGAATGATGTCACATATTTCCTCTATCAGCTTGGTGGCCTTGCTATATTAATCATTAGGAATACCTAATACATTCTATTGTAGATTACTTATTATATATTATTTCAGATCAGTATACTTTAATATGCATTATTTCAAGTTAACTTTAAGAATGCAAGTTAACTGTAATATGTATTATTTCATATGAGTATATGTAATGTGTATTTTTGCTGTTTTCAGACACCAACCTTTTAAACAATTTCTTCATATTTTTTAAGAATTTGTAGGAAATTTGTTTCATTTTTTTTTCTTCCAACCAGGTACCATAAAATTAATGTGGTTATTTCTAGGCTGAAGTCATAGCTGGAGCATGGCAGAGAAATAGAAGTATCTGTTCACTTTGGTATCAGGCTCCTGGGGGACGCAGTTTCCCTCCAGGATTACCCTTCTTGTTGACAGGTTTCTCACAACTAAATTCTTCTTGCTGCCATGTTTGGCAGGGTCTTTCACTGTGGGAATTGACCAGATGCTTTGGACAGCTGGGCAGCACGGTGCCTCTGTACAAATGAACACCATGGCCCTGTCCTTTCCTGCAGAATGCTCGCCCCTCTCCAGGCTGCAGGCTTCTTTCCAGAAGAGTTCTTCCTGGGACTGTGCAGCAGTCCTCCAGACTCAATAGCGGGGATTCTTGCTTCCTCTGTGTCCAAATCAGCATTCTAATGACAAAGTGCTTTCATCCAGTTCAACAGGGGCTAGCTCTAGTAAAAGATAGTCTCATGCTGTTTCTTGCAATCTCTCTCTCTCTCACACACATTACCCTCTCCCCCCCTATCTCAAGCTGTTGAGTTTCAAAAGTAGTAAGATGCGTTTTGGATAAGATCTGCTGCTGGGGTACCAACTTCCACCCTAGAATGATTCTGGTTTGAGTCTGGTTTCACATGTCCAAGATATCTGCCAGTTGGCCTCTGACCAGCCTCTGATCGGCCTCTGACGGGCAGTTTTGTTCTGGGTGGTGAGCTGGAGTGTGCTGTGGCTGCTGGCAGACCAGCAGGACTGCCAAAGAGAGGAGCAGGAACCTTTCCTGTTTGAGTGGTCTGCCATCACTAGATAGCAGATGGTTCCCTTTGATCAGCTCATGGTAAAGGTCTAAACCAGAAGCATCCATTGCCACTTTCAGCTTTCTAACTTATAAAAAAAAAAGTCACAGAGGGAAGACCAATAGCTCAGGTCTTGAACTTTTAAAAGGTTGTGCTGTTAAGTTCTGCATGGAGATGGGGCAAATCCACGCCTGGCTGTGTGGGATCCTTGTTAGTGGCAAGGTAAATGTCAATTGCCTGGCACATTCCAGTTCAGCTTCCTTAATTAAATGCTGCCCTCAGGGGTTGGTTGTTTTTCTTTCCCCTTCCTTCCCCTCCCCTCCCCTCCCCTCCCCTCCCCTCCCCTCCCCTCCCGTCCCCTCCCCTCTTCTCCCCCTCCCCTCCCCTTCCCCTCCCCTCCCGTCCCCTCCCCTCCTCTCCCCCTCTCCTCCCCTCCCCTCCTCTCCCCCTCCCCTCCTGTCCCCTCCCCTCCCCTCTCCTCTCCTCTCCTCTCCTCCCTTTTCTCTTCTCTTCTTTTCTCTTCTCTTCTCTTCTCTTCTCTTCTCTTCTCTTCTCTTCTCTTCTCTTCTCTTCTCTTCTCTTCTCTTCTCTTCTCTTCTCTTCTCTTTTCTTCTTGCGCGCGCAGGCGTGTGTGTGTGTGTGTGTGTGTGTGTGTGTGTGTGTGTGTGTGTGTGTGTGTGTGTGTGTGTGTGTGTGTGTGTGTGTGTGTACTGGTATGGGCTTGAAGTCAGAGCCTGGGTGCTATCTGTCCCTTGGCTTTTTGCTATACTCCTCAGATCTCAGTTTCTGGAGTAGCTGAGGTTACAGTTGTGAGCCACCAGCACCTGGCCTGGCTTTATTTTTTTTTTTTTTTCCTCCTGCTCCTGAAGCTTGAACTCTGGGCCTGGGCCCTGTCCCTGAGTTCCTTTTGCTCAAGGCTAGAGCCTCTACCACTTGAGCCACAGCACCACTTCCAGCCTTTTTGTGAATTAATTGGAGATAGGAATCTCACAGACTTTCCTGCCTGACCTGGCTTTGAAAGTTGATCCTCAGGTCTCAGCCTCTTGAGCAGCTAGGATTACAGATGTGAGCCACCAGCGCCCAACTCTGGCTTCAGTTTTAATAGACCACTAAGTTTCTTGCTGGTGGCCAAGTTAAAAAAAAAATCCACTTTACCTTTTTTTCCTCTTTCTCTCTAATTTAAAATGTGTTTGTATGGCTAGACTTGAGTAGGGTGTAGGAGGTGGTCTCTGGCACGATTATAAAACTCTGAATCCTGTGCTGTTTGCTCCCCTCCCACAATTTCAAAAGTCTCAACTGAATCCTCCAAAGAAGACAGACAGTAGCCAGTAAGGACATGATAAGAGGACCTCACTCAGTGACAGGGGATGGGAGACAGTTCCTCCCTCCTCCAGAAGGGCTGCCAAACTCCAACAGCAAGGAGGAAAACCAAACCAAAAACAGAAATAAGCCAGTGGGGGGGGGGGGGGGGGCGGGGGGGACTGTGGGGAAATGGGAGCTCTGGTGTGCTGTAGGTGGGAATGTAAAATGGCGCCACAGCTATGGAAGACTGTGGCCACTCCTAGAAGGATGAAAGCTTATTTTGGGCATATTTCTCCACAATTACAAATAAAATCAAATCCATAAAAAGAAATCAAGTCACTCCTATACCCGTTCCACTCTGCTCTCCACCTCTGTGAGAAAATAAGGGCTTTGTGCAGGGCAGTGAATAATGCCAGATGTCAGCCACTCCCTCCCCTTCCTCCTCCCCTCCTCTCACCCCCTTCCTTCTCCCTTCTCAGAAGGCCAGGACATCAGTGTTTCCCTCCACTCTGGCCTCCTGCCCCTGCTGGAGGGAAAAACCTCATTGCTGAGGCCCATCTCCACAACCTAAGTTGTTTTACACATGGATGGTTCACTGTGCTTTTACAGTTTTGGTCTTGTTTCAATGCTTGGATACGCAATGAACAAAGAACAGCAAGCCTTCCCGGACTCTTTCAGCCAGTGTATCTGAGCGTTGTTTTCCTGGGTCTGAGGGTTTTTTCCCTGGGTGCAGTGGTGAAGGATGAATCAGGTGTGACTCACTTGAACACTCTCACCTGCTCTCCCTTGAAACAAAGGCAGACTTTGGGCTGCAGTCTGGGTGTCCGGTTGATGGATGGACAGTTGTGGCTTCCTTTACATCTTCAAATAGCCTTGATGAGTCAGGCAGTTCACAGACATCTCATTTATTACTCTGACAGTGATGTCTTCTACACAAAACCTTTGCTTTTGCTTTTTGGGGAGCTGAGTGTACAGTGCTTGAGGAAGTTTTCTCCTATTCTTGTTTTTCAGAGTCACTTCATGGATGACAGGTGCTTGTAATGCCACTGCGCTGCTCCAAGACCATGTAAGGCCCACTGACCATTAACCCCGCTCAGAGCCGAGACAGGTTTGCAGGTAATCATGTGTGCTGCTAATAACAGAGGTCAAGGGTTATTTTGTTCCAGTGATATAGATTTAAAAAGTTTTAATACATGTTATCAAAGGAAAGTCAATCCATTTAATTTCTGTTTTATGGCTGGGTATTCTTAGCTATGCAGGAATTAAAGTCTACTGACTATACTTGGAAAATAGGAGCTATCGCCTCCTATTTACCCCCCAAAGTGACACACTGGTTAAAATGGAAAAGTAAAGAAGATTTGGAGAAAATCTTAACTTTATCCTTGGCTTAACTGATAAGCTTCTTGAGCAGAGTATGGTTTTGAAGGGAGTTTAAAAGAATCTAATGGTTAAAAAGATTTTTTTTTATGATGGCCACATTGTCAATTGCAACATTTTTCTCTTGTCATGTTCTAACGTGAGGTTAACGATGTCCTTACATAAGCTCTAGGCATTGATTTTATTGAAATTTTTTTCTTTTTAAAAAAATTTTTAAAATGATGTTAAGTAATTGAACAAAGAGGTTAAACTTCTCTAAGTCAGGTTATGAGTATAATGCATCTTGGTCAATGACACCCTCTCCATCGTTCTTCCCCACTATTCCCGCTCCTATCCTGACCCTCAAGTTATATACTTCAGTCTTTATATACTGTACAATGAATATAATGACTGCAGTTGCTCATTCTTCTTCTTTTCATGAAATATTTTTCTTGCCCAAATGAGAGCAGCTCCCTGTTTTTAACCTTAGCCTCATTTTGAGAACTTAAGTCCTTTTCTATGCTGGTATTCCTAGTTTGTATGATAATGAAAACATCAGTGGTGCCTGGGACCTGGAGTTATATTAATTATAAATGTGAGAGGTTTTTCCATAACTTCTAATGCACCAGTCCTCTCTATTTGAGCATTCTGCAGCTGCAGGTTTAGCCAACTGCACAATGGACATGTTTACACTAAATATACCGGTACTAAACATGTACAATCATTTCTTTCTCGTCATTATTCCTTAAGCAATACAGGACAGCAACTCTATATAGCATTGACATCATATTATAGTCTAGAGTAGGTTTAATGTTTACACAAGCTGGATGCTGGTGGCTCATGCCTGTAATCCTAGCTACTTAGGAGGCTGAGATCTGAGGACTGAGATTTGAAGCCAGCCTGGGCAGAAAAGTCTGTAAGACTCTTATCTTCAATTAACTGACAAAAAAAAACAAAAGTAGAGGTATGGCTTGAATGGTGGGACACCAGCCTTGAGCAAAAAAGCCAAGCAAAAGCATGAAACACTAAGTTTAAGCTTTAGTACTGGCTGGCGCGCGCGCGTGCATACACACACACACACACACATACATACACATGCATGTATACATTAAATTTGTTGGTTCTAGGCAAATACAACACTATTTTACTTCAAGGACTTCAGCATGTAAGATTTTGGAAGGTGTGAGGATCCCAGAACCAAATCCCCAAATGTTATGCGACTTCTTAGTTCTCATTTGCTGTGTAATGAGAATGCATCTTGCTGATCATTGCGTGTCCCTGTGTCTGGACTGATGGAGTAGAGACACTTTTCCCATGGGTTCTTCAAGAATCCTTAGCTCAAAACCCGTCAACACCAAGTCTGAAGGATGTCTCTGCCTGCAGCTGATTTTTATGCCTGTTGGATTTCTGCATTAATAACATATTATCGATAATGTGCTTAAAATAACAAGCACACAGGGGTGATGCTGTCTGTGTGAGTAGCCTTGCACCATCAGGGGTAATTCCTGTAACTCCTCCTTTTGAGTCATGCCCAGCAGAGAAGGAAGCTGTAAAATATTTAGGACATTATTTTGCTTGCAAAGTTCTATCGTAGTGGGGTGTAACTTAGGCCATGGCTCTTACTGATGCAACTGTTCTTAATTTAGATTAACATGGGGAACTCTGAGAGTCAGTACACCCTCCAAGGATCGAAAAGTCATAGCAATACCATTACTGGTGCTAAGCAGAAGCCTTGCTCTCTGAAAATACGCAGCATCCATGCCAAAGACGAGAAGTCTTTGCACGGTTGGACTCACGGAAGCAGTGGAGCAGGCTACAAGTCCAGGTCGCTGGCCCGAAGCTGCCTTTCTCACTTCAAGACTCATCAGCCTTACGCCCCGAGACTCAGTGGACCCACAGGCAAAGTCTCCAAAGGCACCATCTACTCCAAGCACAGGGTGAACACCCCAGGACCTGACCTCCAGGGCAGCGACCCCTTCCACTATGTCAGCCGCGAGCCAGCAGATAACCACCTCACCTCCAGAGACTGCAATGGACACCTTCTCAACTGCTACGGGAGAAATGAGAGCATGGGCTGCACCCCACCCGGGCAGGACCGCCGCAGCCCCCGGGTGCTCATCAAGACGCTGGGGAAGCTGGATGGCTGTTTGAGGGTCGAGTTCCACAACAGTGGAACCCACAGCCAAGGGTCTGCCGAGGACCCTGGTGGGCCAGTGCAGCTGCTGAGGTACTCGCCTACGTTGGCATCAGGGACCTCCCCAGTGCCGGATGCCAGGAGGGACTCCAGCGCCGACTCCCCGGCCAGCCAGCGCCCTTCTCCCACCGACTCCCGCCTGCGCTCCAGCAAGGGCAGCTCACTGAGCTCTGAGTCCTCCTGGTACGACTCCCCTTGGGGCAATGCTGGAGAGCTGAGCGAGGTGGAGGGCTGCTTCTTGGCCCCCAGCACGCCCGACCCCAGCTTCCCGCCCTCCGATGCCAAAAAACCTTTCAACCAAAGCTCTTCCCTTTCCTCCCTCCGAGAACTCTACAAAGATGCCAACCTGGACAGCCGCTCCCCCTCGGGCATCTGCCTTTCCGATGACTATATCGGCTCCCACGCCAGTCTCGGCAACCGTGTCTCCTTTGCCTCTGACATCGATGTGCCATCCAGGGTGGAGCACAGAGACCCTGTCCAGTACGGTTCCTTCACCCTCCCCTGCCGGAAGTCCAAAGCCTTAACTGAAGACACTGCAAAGAAGGACACCCTCAAGGCCAGAATGCGACGCATCAGTGACTGGACAGGAAGCCTCTCCAGGAAGAAGAGGAAACTCCAGGTGAGTGTCCGCATCAGTAAAGCAGGGCTGGTGGGAGGAGCCAGCAAAAGGGGAGTCAGTGTAAGATCTGGCACATCTTTTCAGGTATGGGTTTTCACTCTTAAGCCCACAACTTCCATGTTGACATACTTTAACTCAGGCTGAAAACAAAACACCACTGGTGGCTTGAACCACAGATGGATTTATTGCAGGCCTAGAGTCTGGGAGGTCAGAGTTCCAGAGTTCCAGAGTTCCAGCAGCCTTCACACTCAGTCCTCACAAGGCACTAATCCCTTCACAGACCCCACCGTCTGCCTCATCTGCGTACCCCTGTGCCATGCAACATCCTACTACGGGGTTAAAGTTTTAGCACAGGATTTGGATGAGGGGAGGAATGTTCGGTCCACAGCACCTGTGTTCTGTGCCTGTGATCTTCACAGGACTAATTTAAAGCTGGTCCCACCTGTTCTTATAAAGTGCAGACCTGGGGACAAGTCCTGGATGAATTGTTTCTGAGGGTTTTGCACAGTCTTATTCTCTAACTTCAAACAAAAAGGAAAAGTACTAGATGGTTTATTTTTTTGATAAGTAGGGAGCTGACAATGTGTCTGTGCATATAATCTGACCACCTCCTCATGTACATAGCTAACCAAACTCTTTTTTAAAAAATGTCTCCTATGAAGGGAGATGTAATAAAAATATAATGCTGACAAAATAAGAATCAGGATGATAGATGATGTCTGGAACACTAGTACTCAGGAGGCTGAGATCTGAGGATTGTAGTTTGAATCCAGTCTGGGCAGAAAATGGCCTTGAGATTCCCCTTCCAATTAACCAGCAAAAATCTTGGCTGGAGGAGTGTCTCAAGTGGTAAAATATCAGCCCTGAGCAAGCAAGCTGATAGCGCAGTGATCTGAGTTCAAGCTATAGTACTGGCACATACAATAATCAGAATGTATTAATAATAATAGTAATCCATTACTACTAGTACTAATACTGATAATAGTTCCTTTAATTGTATTAATAGTGCCTTTATTAGTATATAGAGTTTTAATATAAGAATGAAGTGACTCAGCCATCAGGAATGAAAAGTGATCATTTACCTTTTTAAGTAACTAAGAGCTCTTGCTAGGTCTTGGTAATGTCCTTCTGCTTTTACTGTGTATGTGTATGTGTTGCTGAGAATTAAATCCAGGGCCTTACAAATGCTGGGCTAGCACTCTACTACTGAGCTTCACATTAGCTATTTGTTCTAACTTTTAATGCTTTTAAAATACTTTAAAAATTGAATAGAAGAAATGCAAGCTGGGCACTGGTGGCTCATGCTTGTGATCCTAGCTACTCAGGAGGCTAGATCTAAGGATCATGGTTCAAATCCAGACCAGGCAGGAAAGTCCATGAGACTATTATGTCCAATTACCACAAGAAAACCAGCAGTGGTACTGTGGCTCAACGTGGTAGAGCACTAGCCTTGAGCAAAAGAGCTCAGGGACAGCGCCCAGTCCCTCAGTTCAAACCCATGACTGACAAAAAACAAAACAAAACAAAACAAATGTAGCAGTGGTACTCCCTAGACACTGTGATGAAAATGAACTGTACAACTTGGGGGCGGTGGGACTAGGAGGGAAAACGGGGAGAGAGTAAGGAAAGGGTGACACTGTCCAAAAAGAAATGTACTCTTTACCTGAATTATATAACTGTAACCACTCTAAACATTGCCTTTATAATAACAATAAAAATAAATACTTCTTAGGTGAAGACACAGAGTAGTAGGGATTTCTTTAACCTTTTCCTCCCAGTTTCCATTTCCCAATTGACAGCAATTGAGTCCTATGAAGAAAGGAGCCCCTGTGGACGCCCAGGCTGTGGCCCACATGCACATTGAATTCCGGTGTTAAAGAACCAGCTATGTTCAGCTGTCATCTCTCGTGTCTCCTGGTTGGTTCTGCCATGGAGCCCATTACCCCATGTCTCTGTGTTTCTCGTCTGTGTGTATGGACTGGCTTACATGTGTCTGTACCAGATCCACTAGCTTGAGTTCTCAGTTCAGAAGCAGAACAGTTGCTGCTGTGTCACGTTCTGTCAGGCGTAGGTCATCGTCCCGTCCCCTCCTTCCCCCAGCCTTCCCACAGGAGCCAGACCTCCTTCATTTTTGTGTCATACACAGAACTTAAATCTAAACCATTTCTTGTGTTGGTAGAGAACAATAAGTAACAATATAGTAAACAGTCAGGATTTGAAAGCCAGAATGTACTCCTCATTTAATGCAAAGGAAGCTCAAGGGTCAAGCAGAGGGAGTGTCCTTCCCGGAGATTCTCCGTCAGTGGCAAGGCAGGGTCAGTGCCCAATTGGAGTGTGCTTTACTTAGCTACACACCCAAGCTGTTGTTCATAACCACTATTAAATGTGATTCAGTAGGAAGATGGAAAATTATTTTAAAAACTGGGAGGACAGCCTTTAGTTTTGCTTATGTTCCTACAATTGATAGTCTATAAATACAAATGAGATTTTCACTGGCCAGGCCTTTCTTTTCCTTTCACAATTTAAGATAAAGGTAGGGACTAGAGGCTTAAAAAAATGTAATCCAAACATAGGAACAGTTTGTGATAATATGCCCTCATAAGGCATCAAAGCAATATCTACTGTCTCTCACACTGAGAGTAATAGTTTAGAAAGTCTTATGGGATGGATAGACATTTGTCTTTGTTTTTAAAACAAGTGGTACCCAAAACAGCAACTTTTTCTGTATAGGGCTCTTCACCCATCCATGTTAGTGAGAACCTGAAAGCAGATTATTCTTTGAAAAAACATACACAACTGAAAAGGAATATCACACCAATTATGGGGGTTGAGACATAGAAGGGAGGGAGAATATGTACTAGAGAGTAGTAAGTGCTTCATGCAGATGAACTCTTTATATTAATCCAGCTATAGTGAGACCTTACTCTTGGTTAAAGTTCAGTTTTATCAGTCAGGCTAGGCTAGGTTTTGCTGAGGTGACAAAGCCCCTTGATCAAATATGTGGTTCAACACAACCAAGGTTTATTTCTCACTTTTACTGTGCAACCGTCACAGTCAGATGGTGGTTCAGGTCTTCATTATTCTCCAAGACCCCTGAACCTGGGGCCAGAGCAGCTACCACTGACAATACTGTAAACAACTATGGCAGAAGAGAAGAAAGTTGTGTGTTGGCTTTTGAAGCTTTCCTCCAAAAGTAACACATTTGACTTCTGTTCATGGGTATTGGCATAGGAAGGCATAAGGCCATGGCTAAGTTCAGGGGAAGGAGGGGACGGGGCATGATTCTATCAGGTGCCCAAGAGGAAAGCTGGGGATACTTGGTGGCTGCTCTGAATGAGGGCCACTGCAGATTTGTTGCAGAGTAGATTTAGGACACACAAACCCTCAGTGGCTGGCCCTCTGTGTTTAAAATTCTCAGCATCCTCAGCCCAGTAGGAAGGAGAGTAGCATATGAACACTACCAAGGTGATAATTTTCTATTTTCTTCCAGAACATAAGGAATGGTGACCTTTAAGGAGTTAAATGACATCTTTCCCCCAGTTTTATTGGGGTATAATTGTCAAATGGACATGACATATATTTGAAGAATACAACCTGATACTTTAAATACATATACATTGAAAGTGATCTCCACAGTTAAGCTAGTCATTGTGTAACATAGTTAACCTTCTCTTGTGGTGAGAACATCTAAGATCTACTTTCTTAGCAAAGTTCAGGTACACAGACAGTATAAACGATAGTCATAATACTGGACATTAGATCTCCAGAACTTACTTATTTTGTGTAACTGAAACATTGCAATTTTTGACGAACACCTGTTTCTCTACCCCCTGACCCCTGGCAACCTCCTTTTTACTCTCCTCTCATGTGTTTCACTGTTTTGTGTTCATATGCGAGTGAGATTGTGTGGTATTTGTATTCCTATGCCGTGACACTTCTTGAAGACTTCTCTACTTTTAGCTGTAGTGCCTTGCCATCAAGACACACTATTTCTTATGTTTGTCTGATGGGGCAGAGATGAAATCATGTCCTTTGTGTATGTATAAAGCAAGCCACCTTAGTGTTAACAACCATAACACAGCTATTGAGAATTCTATTAGGACCTCTCTAAAGAAACTTAAAAAAAAAAATTAGAGCCCCCCTTTTTTCAATCAGTTGTAGGGCTTTAACTCTGAGCCTGGGCACTGTCCCTGAGCTCTTCAGCGCAAGGCGAGTGCTCTACCATTTGAGCCACAGTGCCACTTCCAGTTTTCTAGTGGTTAATTGGAGATAAGAGTCTCATGGACTTTCCTGCCTGGGCTGGCTTTGAACCTCAATCCTCAGATCTCAGCCTCTTGAGTAGCTCGGATTACAGGCATAAGCCACTGGTGCCCAGTGAGTCCTTTTCTCTTTAGCCTTACAATCTGTCAGTGGCTATTAGATAGAAAGTTTTAGGAATTGATCAGCCCCTGGAAAAATGTATAGTTCAGTAGACAGATCATAGCAAATGCTAATATGCAACATATCCACATGTCTGTAGGAGAAGATTCTTGCTTTGTGTTGAAGATTTAAGTCAGTCCTCCAGCTCATAGTCTCTGTGTTGTGAGAAACAATGACAACAGTGTGTATAGATCAATCGGACCACTGACACTTAGGCGTCTCTCTGGCAAAGTCCGGCTTGTTCTGGAGCAGAGGAAACCCCAGTGTTTGTGGGGAACATCTAACTAAAACAAGGCTAACACCAGCTGAGAAGTGTTTCTTCATCTCCTAGGAGTCCTTGAAGACTAACAGAGTAACAATTACAACACAATTTGAAAACACTTTGGAAGCCTCTGTGGTGACTCAGCACTGGCTCATTTGCTATGTTTTTAAAGGCATCTGTGTATAAGTGAACAAGACTCTGAGACGTGGTGTAAGCACAGTAGAAAATAATATTTTCATTAGTAATATCTGTGTTTGGGGCTCAGTTGTTTTTAGCTTCTTGTACTTGGAAATATTCTTTGGTTAGTGATGTGATTTTCCAGCCTAAGACAGCAAGGAAATGCTATTGATGAAATTTCTGGAAAGAAAGGTTCTCCACATTGTGGGACGAAGTACGGCCTTTCCTCAGTGTCCTGGGCCTGCTCTCCTCCATCTTACCTTAATGCACAAGGAAATATTACTGAAAGCCCACCAGGAGCTGAGTAGACAGCGAGCTTAGATTTCTCTGCAGCTACCTTAATGCAAGCTGTAAATTTGAAATGTGAGCATCTTTTGAGGCAGAATTGAGGGTTACTTCTTGGTGAAAAATCAGATTACTGCTGTTCACCAAGGAGTGGCTCACATGAAGGGATAGCTTTAGTGAAAAGCAAGCTAGACATAGAACCAGCACTTCTGTGCTTTTAGCTTTATGTCAGTGCCTCTGGTCTTCATAGGTGGCTGCAGTAGTTATATCTCTGTGAATATTATTTAGAGCTGCTTGTGTTTAATCAGCATTGAAGTTAAGAATTATTACTTTGGTATCTCCAGTGGAATACAATATGTTCTCAAATAAAAGGATGTGAATGGGAGAAAATTGTTCTTTTCTGGAAAGAAATTCCCAAATTAAGTAAGAACTATGAATAATGATAAAGAAGCTACAGTTTGCTAGGCAGTACCCTTGATGTAAGTAATCCTTGGTGCAAGTTTTTTTAAAAAAATAGGAAATGGGAGAATAAGGTCTAGAAATCTAGATCTAGGCTGGGGCCAGAGGTTTTGAAGATTACATTTGCCAAAGAGAGAGGGAGAAAACCTTGTGGGTTTTGCATAAGAACACCTGATTTCTATCCTCACTACCCTGTCTGGAGTGATTCTCTAACTTCATTTTCAGGTGATCTAGGAGAAAAATAGATTATGAGAATTTGAATTCTTCCCGGAAGACATTGATTTATAGTCAGAAAGGAGGGGGAAAATGCCAGAAATCTTCACTAATGTGTTTAAAATATATTAGTTTTTTTCTTTCTTTTCCTTCCAGAAGTTTGGGGGTTTGAACTTAGGTTCTTAGACTTGCTTGGTTGGTGCTCTGCTACTTGAGCCACCTTCCTGCCCTCCTTTTTGCTGATTATGGGGGGATGGAGTTTAGTGAACTTTTCTGCCTGTGATGGCCTCAAACCGTGATCTTCCAGATTTTAGCATTAAAGTAACTAGGATTATAAGTGTAAGCCAACAACTAGATATACTAGTTTCTCTTTCTTTTCTCTTTCCCTTTCTTTTTCTGTCTCTGTCTTTCTTTCTCTCTCTCTATCTCTCTGTGTGTGTGTGTGTGTGTGTGTGTACCATTTCTAGGGTTTGAACTCAAGGCTCAGTCGCTGTCCCTGGGCTCCTTTGCTCAAGGCTAGTACTCTACCACTTGAGCCACACCTCCACTTCCAGCTTTTTTTTCTTGGTGGTTAATTGGAGATAAGAATCTTGTGGACTTTGCTGCCCAAGTTGGCTTTAAACCTCGATCCTCAGATCTCAGCCTCCTGAGTAGCTAGGATTACAGGTTTGAGCCATGGGCACCCAGCTCAGTTAGGTTCTTGATATATAAAATAGAGGTTAGACTTAGGAGAGACAATTGGTGTCTTATTTGCCTCTTTAAGTGTTGACTGTGTGGATATAAATTGGGGTGGATAACACTTTCTAAAATTCTTCCTGGTTGGGAGGTGTGATGATTTAAGGTGTTTCTTATTACAAAGATCTTGCTTTGTAGCACCACTATTAGCCATCCCCAGTGGTCCACTGAGGCTGTGCTGAGGGAGGATGCTGTGACTACTGGAGCCTCTGATGGTTTCATTTCTGTCACAAACAGGAGCCGAGGTCCAAGGAGGGTAGTGACTTCTTCGACAGCCGCTCTGATGGGCTGAATGCAGATGTGCAGGGACCCTCTCAGACATCTGCCTTCTTGTGGTCCGGAGGCTCGGCCCAGATCCTGTCTCAGAGAAGCGAATCCACTCAGGCGATTGGCAGTGATCCCCTCCGACAGAACATTTACGAGAATTTTATGCGGGAGCTGGAAATGAGCAGGACCAACACTGAGCACGTAGACACATCTACAGAAACTGTGGAGTCCAGCAGCGAGTCACTCAGCTCGCTGGAGCAACTGGATCTGCTCTTTGAGAAGGAGCAGGGTGTGGTCCGCAAGGCCGGGTGGCTCTTCTTCAAGCCCCTTGTCACCCTGCAGAAAGAGAGGAAGCTGGAGCTGGTGGCCCGGAGGAAGTGGAAGCAGTACTGGGTGACACTTAAAGGTAAGTAGCCCAGCTCGCCAGGGGCTATGATGACTGTTTTCTTCAGCTGTGTTCTCCTGGGAATGGCCACTGAGACTAGCATTGATGTGAGATAATATGAAGGGTTCACAAACAGAATCTTATGGCAAACTACACTGCAAATACTCTGAGGAACTGTATAGTATAGTCTACTTACTGTTCACATATATGTATAGATGTGTATAGCATCTATACATATATGTGAATAATATATACATACATATATACATTATGCTTGTATTCTATATAAGCAAAATTTCACTTTTAAATTTATCTCATGTGTATTACTGCATTGTTCCTTGATACTTTTGCTGCATCTGGAAAAAAAACCCACCTAAATATCTACCAAATGTGGTTAAACTTATTTGGAATATAGGTCTTGAATTTCATATTCGTACTTGTTCAGAACTATAAAATAGTACTCTTCCTAGCTTGAATAGTATCTGGATCACTCCACTTTGATGAACTAAAAAAGAAATTGTTATTAAATGTACTTTTCCTTTTTCCTCCTTTGTCCTCCCTCCTTCCATATCTTCTTCCCTCCTCCCCTCCCCACCTTCTCATGTGAAGGAAACAGAAGCTAGAATTTTAGAAGCAGGAATGTGTTAAGCTAATAAAAGCACTGCCATTTAAAAATCAGAATCACTTTGCCTAGTTTGGTTGTGTAGATTTGAAGAAATCTCAGTATCTCATGAGGAAGCATGAAGCCCTCAATGCATACAGTGTTGATTTATACAGAGGCTACCAGGAGAAGTAGCCTTGTGGCCTCTAGCATTTCTGCACAGCTCTTCTGCTGCTCTATCATAAGAGCTGAATGTAGTGGTTGAAATCATTATCAGGTGACACCCTTTCCCAGTCTGGAAGAAAGCAGAAAGGTGAATCACATGTGTAGACAGTATGTGTGTGAAACACCTAGAGTTCTGCTTTTCTCCCTCTGTAGCTTTCCTTTGTCCTCTGTTTAGAAATAAGAGTCTCGGGGATTTTTCTGTCTGGGCCTGCTTTGAGCCTCTATTCTCAGATCACAGCCTTCTGAATAACTAAGACTGGAGACATGAGCCACCAATGCTGAGCTTCAGAATTACCCTTTTTAACAGAGGTAATTGTGCTCTCTGTCTGCCTTTTCCAATGAGCAAATTATATGTGACTCGTAGGGACATCCTAGGCTGAATAGTTGGCGATGTCCCTCAAAACTCACACTGCGCGGTGTCAGGAGGGGGGCTACCTGTGACAGGCCAGCGGAAGATGGAGTGACAGTGAGGGGACAGAAAGTGACAAAGAAAAGGTGCATTTGGAAGGACTGAGACTGTCTCCTATTTTTATGGCCTCTGTTCTTGTCTTCAAGCCCTCTTCTTGTGGGTTTCTTTCTGCCATTGTGGCAAGAATAGCATCCAGTGTCATCCCTCCAGGCCCCCTTCAAGGGCACTGTGGAAACTGTTCAAATTGAAACCTGGGGAAATTGTTTCCAAAAGGAGGAGGGGGAAGGCGGAAGGAGAGTGACAGAAGAGGTGAGATTGAGTGGATTGAGTGGATTGAGTGACAGAGATTGAGTGGATACATTGTATACATGCATGGAAATGCCACACGGAAGCATCTCCTTGTACAACTGATGGGTGCTAATAAATCCTTTCCAATAATTATAAGGGGATTCCTATCTAATCATTAAAGAAGACCATTAGTAATGTCTACATGTAATACTTTACAAGCTTATTGGGGGAAAATAAGTACTTAAAAGTATATGTAAGCCAGGTACCAGTGGCTCACACTTGTAATCCTAGCTACTCATGAGGCTGAGATCTGAGGATCACAGTTTTAAGATAGCCTGGGAAGGAAAGTCTGTGAGACGTCCATCTCCAATTAAATGCAAAAAGCCAGAAGTGGGGGTGTGACTGAAGTGGAAGATCACCATCTTTGAGTGAAAAAGCTAAGGGACAAGCACCCAGACCCTGAGTTGAAGCCCCGGTTACAGCACACACACAAAGAAGTCTAGTTATCAGCACTTTTAGAGTATTGTTTGAAACAGAGATGTATTTGTGGGATAAAATAATACACTAAATTCAATTATTTGACATGCGTCTGGAGGATAAGCTGGGCACTTGATCATAAGTAGCTAAGTTTCTCATGACCATAATTGTAAATGTAATTAAGAAATGTGGGACTTTCTTTGGCTTTCTATATTTAGATTTCATAAATAATAGTGTTGTACTTAAAAACGAGGAGCCAGAGGGCCTACATTCATATCCCTGCTCAACTATGGTCTACCTGTGGGACCCACACAGGAAAACTCCATGTTTTGGAATTGTCATCTCTTCAGCAGAGGTGATCAGCCATGTTCTCATAACAGGATAGCTTGGGTTAAAATGACCCAGTGTGCAGAGAACCTGGAGGATTTAAACACACATGCGGTACATTATGCCTCGTTTTCATTCCAATTCATATCATGCAAGAAGCCAGCTTTTCCTTACCACATTTGTGAAGCAGCCACCTCAGTCAGGCCTTGGAGGTGTTTTCAGATGTATAATTTACCTTCTCATGTCCGTCCGTTGCCCCCCCCCCCCCCCCCCCCCCAGTGTCCTCAGGTCGTGTGGCATGGACTTTACTTGGCCTCTATCTCTCCTAGGCTGCACCCTGCTGTTTTATGAGACCTATGAGAAGAACTGTGCTGAGCCCCGCAGTGGGCCCAGGAGCGCCCTCTTCGTGGAGGACAGCATTGTGCAGTCTGTCCCGGAGCACCCCAAGAAGGAGCATGTGTTCTGTCTCAGCAACTCCTTTGGAGATGTCTACCTTTTCCAGGTACTGCTGGTTTTGTGCAAACAGAGCTGGAAGTGATGGCTTCTGTGTGATTTAGATGAGATGAAAGCCAGTCACCAGTGGCTCACACCTGTAATCCTACTACTCAAGAAGCTGAGATCTGAGGATCCAGGTTGGAAGCCAGCCAGGGCAGGAAAGTCTTCAGTTAACCAGCAAATAAGTCAGAAGTGTTCAAGTGGTAGAGCACCAGCCTTGAGTGAAAAAGCTAAGGGATAGTGCCCTTAGCTTCAAGCCCCAATATTGGTGTGTATACATGCATGCACACACACACACAAAGATCAAAAGAACTAAAAGGTAAATAGAGTGAATACTTCGTTAGGCTTTGAATTAGGACCTGAGCAGTAGACATTGTCATCTGTTAACTGTCAGTGCCAGAGGTCCAGTCCAGTTATTATGACAGCAGGCTTTGCCCAGGTGCCTGTTAAATGCCAGGCTGTGGCCTATGGGATGGAAACTCACAATCCCTGCCTGTAAATAGCTCACAGTGTAGAGAATGTGATGTCCATGATTTCTGCAGCAGAGCTTTTTTCGGGAAGCCTGCAGAAGTGGAGGCAGGAGAAGCTTAGGCTCTTCTCTGGATTCCCAGTGGAAGTCAAGCCACAGGTCTCTGGGAAGTCCTGTGGACGTATGCTATGAGGTTCCTCTCCCTGTGGAAACTGGTCAGGAGGTTCAAGTTCAGGTGACCTGCTGTTAACATTTGTGGCCACTTTGTAGCAAGTGTCTACTTGCAAGATCAGAGGAAATTTTGGAGAGTACTTCCCTTAATTAAAAAAAATGTTATTATAAAGGTGATATACAGAGGGGTTACAGTTATATAAGTCATGTAGAAAGTACATTTCTTTTTGGACAATGTCACCTCTTCCTTCCCTCTTTCCCAGTTTTTCTCTCCCATCCCCACCCATAAGTTGTATAGTTCATTTTCAACATAGTGTCTAGTGAGTACTACTGCTCATTTGTTTAGAGAGTATCTTGTATTAAAATATTTTCTATGTTCAGGCCACTAGCCAGACAGATCTGGAAAACTGGGTCACAGCCATACACTCTGCGTGTGCGTCCCTTTTTGCAAAGAAGCATGGGAAGGAGGACACAGTGCGCCTGCTGAAGAGCCAGACTCGAGGCTTGCTCCAGAAGATTGACATGGACAGCAAGATGAAGAAGATGGCGGAGCTGCAGCTGTCCGTGGTCAGTGACCCCAAGAATAGGAAGGCCATTGAGAACCAGGTATCTGTTATCTCACATGTACTTACAGCGGGCAAATGCAGACTTACATGTGCTAGTCATTCTTATACTCGGGATAAGGTCTGCGGCTTTGCAGTTGAAGTTGTTGGTGGCTGGGTTTTTTGTGTGTGATGAGGGTGATGTGATTATACGCTTTGCAGTCTTTGGCAGGTGTAAAGGTACAGACTGAGCATTGCTTTGCCTGAAATGCTTGGGACCAGAAGTGTTTTAGATTTGGAATGTTTTTCTTAAGATTTTTCTATATTTTGGAATATTTGCCTCTATACAAAATATATGTATGAAATATTTTAGTTGCATTAAATATGAACATGTGAAATATCTTAGAAATGAGACTTCCAGCTGGGCACCACCAGTAGCTCATTCCTGGAAACCTAGCTACTCAGGAGGCTGAGATTGTGATCCAGACTGTCCCAGACAGGAAAGTCTGGGAGACTCTTATCTCCAGTGAATCACCCAAAAGTCAGAAGTAGAGCTGTGGCTCAAGGAGTGAGAGTGCTTGTGAGCACAAAAGCTCAGGGACATTACCCAGGCCCTGAGTTCAAGCCCGAGGACTGACAAAAAAAAAAAAAAAAAAAGGGCCTCCACATCTGAACAAAATTTACTTTTGATTCATGTATATCATATATGTATATCTAGTATGTCATGTTATAGTATTTTTAGTGGCTTTGTGCATGAAGCATTTTTATGAAACAATACTATGGAATGTTTCACTTGTGTCAGATTGGCACTTATATACATTTTGAAGTTGTGCATGGTGATACATACCTATAATCCCAGCACTCAAGATGCTGACATAGGAATATCATCAGTTGAAGGCCAGCTTGGGCCATGTAGTGAAATTCTGTCCTCAGACACAAACAAAAGCAATTGGATTTTTGTACTCCCTTTCTTATTTTTGGATTTTTGAATTAAAAGTGCTTAATCTATATATTATAATATTTTATGAACAAATCTTTATTATTTTCCTATAGTCAGTGGTACCTTCTTATCTCTCATATGCCATCACTTATAAACATAAAACTACTGAAAGATTACATGGGTAAGATTCTACTCTAAAAGATGACTTTGAAGTGAGTGCTTGGTTTGGTGTAACACAGTTATTCCTAGAACAGTAGAGAATCTTTTAATTGAAAAGATGTGGTCTACTTCCACATTCGTGTGAGAGGTAGTTCTTGTGCTACTGGCATTTTGGAGGAGATAAAGCAGCCTTTTAATTTCAGAGTTGCTCTGTATCATGGCAGGGGCCCTGGTCCTTGTTTCCTGGGATTAGCCAGTCAAAGCAGCTCCTATCAATGATGGCGTGTGATGGGGAAAGTAGGCTTGTAGCTGCTTATCTTAGCTCTCTTAAGCTTGACTTGGGAGCCATTGTTTAGACTTCTGGAAAAGATGCCCAGTTTGGAGTTTTCAGGTACTTTCACTTAGTCAAATATTTAGGTTCAGGGAATGATAAGGAAAACTGGGCAACATTGAGAGAGTCCTAGACTGTCTTTTGTGTCCTTTAAAGTATGTCGGGCTTCCTTATGGCCACAAGAAATCTAAGCAAAGGCTTTTTTTTTTTAAACATTTTAAATTTTCATTAAATATAATTTTATATTTTCTGTCTGTGGCTTGTAACTACTAGCTGATGTCACTGTGATTGTGGGGTGGAGGGCCAGGATATGGTTGAGAGGGCTGGAGAGCCTCTGCTCTTACAAAGAGTTTGGGTGATGAGTACTTGTGCTCCACCATAGGTTCTTTGATGGGCTTATTACATCAATTACTTTATGCATATCTTCTTAGAACAACTAGGTTTTCATTTCATGTCTCCCCTTCCCCATTTCCTGGCCCTTACCCACTTGTCTCTTCTCCTTGCTACCTTTCCTTTCTCCATTTCCCCATCCTGTGCACACCTTCTCTTTGGATGATCTTCAGAAATTCTATCTGAAAATGCCCTCACTGTAAGGGCAAATTTTTAAGGCAATAATGTAGTTACATTTTTTCTCAAAGGGTTTTGCTATGGGTAATGGGAATTACCCACAGTTTTAAAAACATTGAAAAACAGAGCTCACTGTCCCCAACTTCCAGGAGTTCAGAGAGGCTTCAGGAAAGAGCTCTTCACTCCTCACTTGCAGATATGAAGCCTGAGAAATGTACAGGGGGTTGCACACATTGGGATTGTTTTTAGAAGATCTTTGTCTAGAAAGCAGAATGTGATGCTACAAAGCCCAAGCTTTTGCAAGACCAATTTAGGCCATGGTCCCACCCATCCCATCCATGTAGTTTCCTCTCAACTGTGTTTTAAACTTCATAGAAGACCAGGGCTCTGTCTACTCACCATATAAATATCTCCACTCTTCCCTTGGAGACCCTGGCAGCCTCTGATCCAGTTATAATTTGTGCTCATAATTGCAGAAGGCAGTGTAGATTGTGTTATGCAAGATAAAGTCTCTGGAACAAGTTTTCTTTGAAGTTCGTGGGTAGAGAAACCCATGGTCAGGGCCCTTCCTAAATAAGAAGGCACCATCCTCATCATAACGGCTGTGTTTCATATTGTCACGGGGTCACATGCTCTGCTTAAAATAACCCCCCTTACCCTTTCCTCAGGCCTCTGCTGTTGCATGGAGCTGGGTGATGCAACTTTGCTCTGAGCGTATCCGATGTGGTTCAGACCAGGCCTTTCGGCCACATGGCGAGTGTGCCTTTGAAGTTGTGAGGGAGGAAGCGCTGTAAATTAAGGCCAGTTAGTACTTTATTTTCCTTTCCATTTATTATTTCAAACAAGTAAACAAGGCCAAAAACCTCATCACCCCCAGGCAGTGTTGGAGTCCTGCCAGATGTCTCCCCAGCCTGTCTCATTAAGTGCCTTTCTAGGGGAGCAGGGCACTTCCTGCTGGGGGTGGAGGGAGAGGCTACAGGGCGGGGTAGTTAGATCACTGGGGGGTGCTACAGTGGAGGGGGAAAATGCTCTGCTCAGGCCTTTGGGTTTTGCAAAATGTGGGCTTTGTTTCCTTTGTCTTTTTTTCTTTTGCCTATATTGGGACTTGAACTGAGGTCCTTACATTTTTACTTGGCATTTTTGCTCACAGCTTGTATTCTACCATTTGAACCATACCTCCACTTCTAGCTCTTTGCTAACTAATGGGAGATAATTCTCTCAGATTTATCTGCCTGGGCTGGCTTTGAACTGTGATTCTTAGATCTTGGCTTCATGAGTAGCTAAGATTACAGGCATGAGCCACCAATGTTTGGGTTATAGGCTCCAGTTTCTTTCTTTCTTTCTTTCTTTCTTTCTTTCTTTCTTTCTTTCTTTCTTTCTTTCTTTCTTTCTTTCTTTCTTTCTTTCTTTCTTTCTCTCTCTCTCTTTCCCTCCCTCCCTCCCTCCCTTTCTCTCTTCTTTCTTTCTTTCTTTCCCTCCCTCCCTCCCTCCCTCCCTCCCTCCTTCCCTCTCTCTCTCTCTCTTTCTTTCTTTGCCGTGGGGCCTGAACTCTGGCCTGTGAGCTGCCCCTCAGCTCAAAGCTAGCATTCTGCCACTTGAGCTATGGCACCACTTCCGGCTTTTTCTGCTTATGTGGTGCTGAGGAATCAAACCCAGGGCATGCAAGGCAAGCACTCTACTACTGAGCCACCTTCCCAGCCCTTGGCTTCAGTTTTAAATGGTAGGGGGTAGATTGAATTTCCTTCCAGTGGGAAGCTGTGTTGAGGCGAGCACAGAGAACAGAGCTTTGAGGGACCTCTGGCATGGTGTACACGTGGGGATGAGGGAGTGACAGGAAGACCCTGGAGAGGACAGCAGTGGTAAGGGTGATTTGCAGGGACAGGCCAGTTTTAACAAGGGGCTGCGTGCAGGCTTTACTGAGTAGGCAGGAAGAGGAAGGTAGAGGCACCTGGGGACAAAAGAACAAGGTACAGTGTAGTTCAGTGTGCATTTCTGGCACCTGTGTCTCTGCCCTCAGGGTATACCTGGCCCAGGAGGGCCATGGAGAGTGGAGCCTTTGGACTCACTGAAATAGAATGTCTTCAAAACAGTGAAGTTTACATGTGCTGAGAAAAAAGAAAGGGGAGATTTTTTTACCTCACAGGTAGTCATGGAAGACTTCCTGGGGGAGGAGGGCCTGAACACCGACTCAACTAGTGGATGGGGTGGAGACAGGCTTCTAGGCAAGGGCCAGCCCCAGAGCACGCCAACTCCTAGAGGAGCTATGCAGATGGATGTTTTAGGCAGGTGGAGGCCACTATGGGACCATCACTGTCTTCTTCCTGCCCTGCTGCAGCGGCCTTTGGCTTTGCTTTTCCTCGGCATCTCCTCCACAGAGTGCTTTGAATCCTTCAGTGGCTCTCCCCACCTTGGCCTAGACCCGGAAGTGCCGTGCCTGCTGCAGGACTCCTAGCAGCCCTCCCTTTCCACTTCCTGCTCCGGGCTCTTCATGAACAGAGAATGTTCCATGTGTGGGGTGTGTACTTGCCTGTCTCTCCTCCAGCCCCTTACACCTGAGCTATCCCTGACTCCCCTCTCGCCCTGCTCTGTCTGGGACCCACCTCTACCCTCATGGTTCTTGGTTTCTCCGTGCCCTGAGTAGCTAGGATTGCAGGCATAAGCTACCAGTGCCTGGACCTAGACATTTATTTTTAAACATAAATATCAAGACATGGAATTAATAACTCAACTTTGAAGGGGGAGCTTTCCTCGCTTTCAGCATCCAGACACAAAACATGGCAAATGATCTGAGCAAGAAAAACCCGTGCCACTGAACTTCCCATCGCGAAAGGAAATGCCACCACCGGCAAAATGACAGGGAAAACTCCAAAGCTTACCAAAAGCTCAATGCAGTCGTTTCCTCTTTGTTGTCATATTTAGTTAATGAGCTCAGAGAGGTTGCAGCTGTAGAAAAATGGGAAGGGAGAGATGAAGGCTAGTGATAAAAATAACAAATGAGTTGAATGGATTTAGTGTCACATTTAAAAAGATGACAAGCACATTCCTGCTATATCCAGTACTCTCAGAAAAATAGCTCCTACCATTTACTTACTTAATTGTAGCATTTGACTTAAAAGAGAATGCTTTTCCTTGTTGGTGGAATTAGCTAAAAAAAAAAAAAACAGAAACAAACAAAACCCTGCCCATTCCATACTTTCCAAACTTTAAACCTTATCTTCAAGGAAGAACCCATCAGTGATACAAAGTTTGCTAAAGTAGACTGGAGGTTAGAACACACAGCTGGGGTTTAATCCATTTTTTCTGTTGTGTTTTCTTCCAGATCAGGCCCATTCAGATTTATAACCAATATATTTTCTCATCTGCTCAAGCTGAGCAACCCATATTCTCTGACAATCTCTTATATCCCTCCCACAGTTTCAGTAACTATGTGGCAAGGGAATCAAATACTTCATAATTTCTTATCCAACCCACATCCTCACCTAAGTTCTATGACTGACTCTCTCTATAAAGAACACAGGATACATACTGTTTATAAAGGTGGAAGGGTTATGTGGCTAATGGTAGCTTGTCTTGCCACAGAGATTAAAAAAACAAAAGCTGTATTAGTTCAAGGGTCTCCACATGCAGAACCAATAGAATATGTGCATGTAAGTGTGTTCAAGTGTGTATGTGTGAATCTGTGTCTGTAATTGGCAATTATGAAGGTATGAAAAAACCTCAACATCTTCAGGATAGGTCAGCAAGTTGGACCTTAGGAGGGCTGAGGGTATATTCCTAGATTGAAGGTTTGCAGGCTCACAACCCAGAAAGAGCAAATGTTTTTCACCTAATTAAATGAGGCCCTCCACATTGGGGAGTGCAATTTGATTTTCTTAATCTACCCATTTAAATGTTAGTATCATCCAAAATATCTCCAGAATAACATTTGACCAATGACTTGAGTACCTGGTGGCCCGACCAAGTAGAAAAAATAAAATTAGAATAAACCCATTATTGGAATAAAAGGTCACTTATCCGTTGAATTTTCCATTCAATTAAAATTTAAAAACATCTCTTCACTGTACAATGTAGAATTCACTGCAAGTTTGTTCTGGAGGGTGAGGCTCTGTTTGGACACTAAACAACCTAGGAACCTGCTGCCAGGGAAACGATGTTGCTCTCCTGTGGACACCTGAGCTCAGCTCTTACTGCATGCCTTCCCTCCCACTTGGGCCAGGAGGACCTGTGGAAGCCCAGCTTTGCGCCCTGCTCCCAAGGCTTGGATTGGCAGGCCACTGGCCTTTCTTCACCCACAAACAGGCCTGTGAATGGAGGACAGACTTGTCTGTAGCCCACTGTGGTTGTGACACCTTGGAAGAAAGGAGAGTGGCCCTGGGTTTGACTGAGTGTTCATATGCATTGTATATGTGTTTACCAACTCATGACTCCTAAAGAAATGTGTAGGAATTTCAGTTATATAAATAACTGTAGTTATATTGATTTTTTTCAAATGTTCAGGTGGTTGATATTCTGTATGACACTTCAGTAAAATCTCTATTTGTCATCATAAAGTCTATTTGTTGTTTTATTTATTTTTGTACTGGGAATTGAACTTGGAACCTCACTCTTAATCTAAGGAACTCCAATTCCTTTTCCTTTTGTCCCTCCCCTCTTTTTCCTTTCTGTCCCTTCTCCTCCTCTCCTTTCTATTTGTGCTGGTAATGGGGCTTATGCACAGGGCCTGGGCACTGTCTTTTATCTTTTTTTACCCGAGACTGGTGTTCTACCAATTGAGCCATAGCTCCACTTCTGACTTTTTGCTGGTTAACTGGAGACAAGAGTTTCATGGACTTCTGTTCAGCCTGGCTTTGAACCTCAATCCTCAGATCACAACCTTGGATTAGCTAGGAGTAGGTAGGATTACAGGTATGAGCATCTGGTTCTCAGCCTTTTTCATTAGCTAATTCATAGACAGATCTTCGTTATTTATTGCATGGCTGGCCTTGAATTTTGATTATTGTACTTCTGCTTCCTTAGTAGCAGGTATCATATAGTCTGGCCTCATCTATTTATTTCGTGTGTGTGTGTGTGTGTGTGTGTGTGTGTGTGTGTGTGTGTGTGTGTGTGTGTGTGTGTGTGTGTGTGTGTGTGTGTGTGTTACCAGGGTTTGAACTTCGGATCTTGTGTTAGCTTGACTAGCTTGCTTAGCTGGTGCTCTACCACTTGAGTCATACCTCCAGCTCAGCTTTTTATTAGTTTGGAGATGGAGTCTAGCAGTCTTTTCTTTATGCTTTGTCTTCAAACTAGCATGCTCCAGATCTCAACCTCCAGAGTAGCTGGAATTACAGGGGTGACCACTATCACCAGGCATGCTTCTTACTGTTTTGACTCACCCAGAATGACTGGAACATAGAGCCTGTGACTTCATGCACTCATATCTGTTTGTGTGAAGTTCAGTTAATCCAGTTTGGGATGAGAGGCTGTAAATGAGAAGGGAGATGAAACAGAGTACCTGAAAGAAAAAAAGAAAAAAACAATTTCAGTTTGTATCCTGTTGTAAGTCAGCATGGCTGACTTCTCTATAGATCACATGGCTTTGGCCTGCCCCCATGTTGGGAGCACTAGCTGCCTTCTATTTCTATCCGTTGTATGAAGTGTAACACTGAGACCTGTGCATTCTGTTGTATGGGCTTGAGGTAGGGGTGAATAGAGAAGGCTGGTGTAAAGCATCCAAGTTTCTTCCTGATGCTTGTGGAAGGCATTCAGTTTTCTCTGTGACCCACGTAGCCATGTATCTTTTATCTAAGTCACATCTGATTTTGCTGTTTTAGATCCAGCAGTGGGAACAGAATCTGGAGAAGTTTCACATGGATCTGTTCAGGATGCGTTGCTACCTGGCCAGCTTGCAAGGCGGGGAGTTACCAAACCCTAAGAGTCTCCTTGCTGCCGCCAGCCGTCCATCCAAGCTGGCCCTTGGCAGGCTGGGCGTCCTGTCTGTTTCCTCATTCCATGCTCTGGTAAGTTCTTGAAGAGGGTCCAGTCAGGCATTCTAGGGCGATCTATCTGTTGAACACCTTTTGCCAGCTGTTGCCACCAGCTGTGCAGAAACTGGGCCTAATGATTGATGTGTGTCACCCAGAGTCTGGGACTGGAGACGGAGGGGAGGAGAATACAGTCCCTGGTGTCTCCACTGCTGCCACTGGGTAGTTTAGGACATATTCCTATCTGCACTGACCTTCCTGCCTGCTCCTCCTCCTGCCCTGGGGAAGGTGGGCTCTCTGGGGAGCAACTCTTTGAGATTTTATTCTAATTAACCAGCAAAAACGCAGAAGTGAAGCTGTGGCTCAAGTAGTAGAATGTCAGCCTTTAGTGAAAAAAAACTAAGGGACAGTGCCAGGCCAGGTCCGACCCAGTACACACACACACACACACACACACACACACACACACACACACACACACACACACACACACACACACACACACTCTCTCTCTCTCTCTCTCTCTCTCTCTCTCTCTCTCTCTCTCTCTCTCTCTCCTCTCTCTCCTCTCTCTCCTCTCTCTCTCATCTCTCTCTCCTCTCTCTCTCTCCCTAAAGGTTGCTTATCTTCTCCTGCAGAGCCTGTTGGGTTTTCGGAGATCATTCCTGGACTCTGTATTGAACTGACACCTAGAGGCCCATGGGTTGCTTTGCTGACTCCTTGTTGAATACTGTAACTTGTCTCATGCTAGCTAGATAAAAAACTCTGTACACTGGCTACACTTCTGAAATGTCAAGCCTGCAGCAGTCTTTGTCACTGGTCAAAATACATCGATAGCAAGCAACGCTTACTCTTGTTACGCAACTGTTCTTCCTGTTACCCAGAGATACTTAAACATACTTTATGATTTCTTTTTCAATTAGGTATGTTCTAGAGATGGCTCTGCTTTTCGGAAAAGAACTCTCTCACTGACCCAACGAGGGAGGAGTAAGAAGGGCATATTTTCTTCACTGAAAGGGCTAGACACGCTGGCAAGAAAAGGGAAGGAGAAGAGGGCTTCCATAACTCAGGTGAGTTATAAATGTCAGGGAACAGCAGCCGGGAGGGACATTCCCGAAACCCTGCTGTGGGCTGACCTCCAACCGTAGGTGTTCATTCATAGGTGTTTCACAGGGGCAAAAAGTATTGGTTCCAAGCGTCTAGTCTTAGCACAGACTTTTGACCCCAACTGAAATACGTAAATTGTACAGTCTTACTTTGGTATTCCTAAAGAGGCAGGCACACTAGGAACACCAGAGCTAAGAATTATCAGCTTGGTGCTAATGGTTCATACCCATAATCTTGAGATCTGAGGATGGTGATATGAAGCCAGGTCTTGAAACAAAGTCCTTGAAATTCCTATCTCCTACTGGACTGGAGTGGTAGAGCCGCAGCCATCAACAAGAAAGCCTAGGAGAAGCTTGAAGCACTGAGTTCAAGCCTGGTACCAGAAAAAAAAAATCTACATTTTCATTGCCTTTAGTAGCAGTATTTACCTATAGGTTTTATATTAAATATGTAGAAAATTAAATGTATTAAATTAATGTGAAGCAGTGTGGCTAAGTTCTATCAACAGCACTAGATTCGTTGCTTGCTTAAACCTTGTAGTATTACATAGGCATTTTGTCAGCCCATTTTATAGATGGGAAGACAGAAACTTTGGAAAGTTAAGTACATCCCTTATTTAGTGGATGGTAAGACAGATATTATAGGTGGGAAGACAGATACTTGACCTTGTCACTTATCTTATAGATGATAAGACACCTGATAGAGAGGTTGTATCACTTACCTACCTTTATGGGTGATAAGACAGACAATGGAGAGTCGGTTAACTACTTTTCTTCTAGGATCCTTGGGCCAGGCTCAACTCTTTCTTGCCTGAGTCAAAGCCAGTAAGCAATTGCTGATATTTATTTTCCCATAAGGAGAGATAGCTTTTTAAAATTCCTTATCAAGAAAAACAAATGGCCTGAAGATTTATTGCTGAAATATGGCCCAAGTACAGTAAATTATTTCCAGAGTGCCTTGAATATATAGATCTAAAACGTTTCACAGTGTCTCTAATATAGCAGATGTTAATGGATTCTGCACTGCTGGTTGATACATTGCTTTTTCAAAGACTGGTGAAAAGATGAGTTATATGATGATCATATATAAGTGGATGGAAACATGGTTGCAATTAATTCTGAAGAAGTTTTTGTTTTTATTTTCAGGGAATCAGTGTTATTCTGATTGCTTTACTGTCATCTGAGAGAAAGGGTCATGCTTATGGAATTTTATTTCCTCATGTTATACAACTTTTAAATTCTGTACAGTACTTTTATGAATTAGGTCACTGAGAGAGCTAACGTGAACTTTGACCTGTTTCAAATGTGAAACAATGAAGTTGGGAGAGTGACTCATAGACAGCAAAACATAACAGAACTTCTTTTATATGACCTTTGTTTATTTTTTAATTGAAATAACATCACATTTAAAAACTATAGTTCAACTTGTGTTTTACTTGAAAAGAGTATGTATTTATTGCTTATAAATGGAAATAGTTCCATTATAGATTGTCTCTATCAGCCGTTGGCAAATGCTGAGCCTGTGCTGTCTGGATTGAATTTCTATGATGTTTAATTAATATCGTTAAAGCCAATTCTGATTTTAATCAAGATAATACTATGCAATTAAATGATGATAACTTGATAAATAACTTGATAACTTGGTTATTTTTCTTAGATAGAACATTTAGCTAATTACATATGAGCCTAATACTGTCTTTATCCCAGCACATGTGTTAAATGTTCTCAACAAAAGATTTCTTTATAAACAAAAACCATTTGGTTGAACAGTTTTTGTTTGAAAAAGATTGGAAACCAATTCCAGTGTTGATATTCATATAACTGAGTAGAGCTGATTTAGTAATTAAACATTCCTAAATGTTTAAATGATCTTTAATGGTAATATTCTGCAGAATTAAGGAGATAAAATTTGAAAAAGTAGAAGAAATGATTCCTGGTTTTTCCCTCTAGACACAACCACTTTTACCATGTTTTCTTTCAAGGTTTATCCTATGCATTTTTTTTTTTAAGTTGTAAGCTGGGTTTGGTGGCTTTGCCAACTCTGAGCTCTGTTCTACATCTTCAGAAATGTGTACTTGGTTAAAAGCCTCATCAAGAACATGAGGATGATGTGAATAATATGTAACATTATAGAAAGTGAAGTAAAATATGTAACTCTCTGGGAGGTGAGAAAATTTTTTTCTCCAAAGTTAAATTTTAATTGTGTTAGAATTCTAGTAAAAGTGATGAAATATTGCACAGCTTCAATTTTTAAATATCAAAAGAGGTGGATGCTCAATGAATATTGTAGAAACATGTCACGAATCTTTCTTTTCCTCCTTCTTTGTCAGATATTTGATTCAAGTGGCAGCCATGGATTTTCTGGAACTCAGCTACCTCAGGGCTCTGGCAACTCCTGTGAGGTAAATGTGGGAGTCAGCAGCCACCTTGTTTGAACTCTGATGTGACACACATGTTGTTAAGCAGGAAATGCTGGTTCAGAATCAGTACATGAATTCACTGAAGATAAATTTAGATGTAAAGTGGTCTCTATTAGATTAGCTAAGAGATGACCTCTGAATGCTCATTATTGTTGGGCATATCATCTATACTTGCAGCAACAGAGATATAACTAAAGCCATAATATCATTTCTTATATACTATATGCTATTCTTCCCTATGCTCCAGCAATACTTAACCCTCACCTGAAGTTTAGTGAATTGCAGCTTGAGTTTTCACACCCATACTTCGAACATCAGAAACCTTTCTCTCCTGAGGTTTCCTCTGTGGAGCCAAGTTGTGTCCCTTGCTAGTCTCCAGGATTGCTTTTGACTTGAAGGGTCCTCAGGATGATATCAGAAGGAAACTTAGAAGTCGGGTGGAGCTTGTTTGGATGTGTTTATGTCTCCTCTTAGTAGCTTTGCCGTCCCCTTTCTCCCCAAGACAGAATTCCATGTTGCTGATCCATTTTTCTGACTCTTCCCCCACCAAATTGTTTTTGTCTAAAGTTTTAAATCTTACAAGCTACTTGTTGAAGTTGCAAAACCAATTATGACAAACTTGGGAAAAGATCATTTGTAGAATCTGGTAATATTCTTTTTTTTTGTAATATTCTTTAATAAATGAATGGGAATAATTCAACAAAAAGGGAGTTTAGTTTGAACTAACAAGAAAAGTGGGATGTCCAGAGGTAGGAAGGGAAAGAAGGAGAGAAGAAGAAAGGAACTTTCTGGCAATGCTAAGATCCCCAAAGAAGACTGGTGTGTGAGGCTGGTCCACGCTGCTCAGTATGCTGTCATTGGACCTGCCTCCTGGTGGCAACTCAGCTAGAAGCCTCCTGCTTCCTGTAGAAGATGCAGAATGGGAAAGAAATTTCCAGACTATGTTTCTCATCACCTCAGCTCCTATCCCCAGGCATCAGGGCTGCCACGGGCATGGGATGTGGTGCAGTGGCTTATTCCAGGAAGCTGCTCTGAAGGTTCTCCTGTTTTGTGATCTCCTTTTGTTCAGTTTGACCAACAAAGGGGAACAAGGAAGCCAGGTACAAACCTTCCTTTCTATAAATCATACCATTAATTCTCATGGTGATTGAACTTCCTTTCTATCACCTTTATATCTGTAAGCTGGCAGAGCCTATTCAGATCTGAATCAAATCATTCCATTCTCCAGGAACTTGCCTCCATTTTGTGGTTAACAGGTCATCATCATTTGTTTAGTTGTTGTTATCCCCTCCCTTCTCTGGTTAGCCATCCTGCAAGAGTCTGTTCTGTTTTTGCCAGGAAATCTTACCTCTAGGACCCTTGTTGTGTGTAGGTTTTGTATATCTGGTGTTTATGTATATGTTCTAAATCTGTAGCACACTGCCAAGGATACTGCTTAATAAATTTATTAAGAATTGCTTATTTTAGATGTAGTCTTTTTTTTTTTCAGTGCATGTTGCTCTGGTTATTTGTTGTTAAGTGGTTGTACAAAGAGGCTTCAGTTCTAGAAGTCAGCTTATGAGAACAATGCATCTTGATCATTGTCACCCTTGCATTGTTCTTTTCATAGTTCAGTCTTTTCAGGGTTCAAAAGAAATAGCTTATTTATGATTTAGAAAACCCAGCATTTTAGGATTATAACTCATGCAGCATTATAAAACAATTTACGATTCTTACTTTAAAAGTTAAATGACATCATCAAAGCATTTCCTATGAACTGAACTCTTGGTTTACTTTGACAATAGATTTTACTAAAATAGTCATTGTGGTAAGAAATTTGGTATTTATTTATATTGGGATCTAGTTGACACATTCTTTTGTGGAGGAATCGAGAAACTGAACCAATGCTACAACAGGGTGAGAGGAATCTTTCAGTCTGTCAGTTTTTTAAAGCACATCTAAGCACTATCACTGTTTATCCTAAGTAACATTGCAAGCTGATACAGGGAGGGGAAGACATTGCTTTGGTTTGTTTTATCTTTTTGGTTTGTTTTTGTCTATCCTGCCACAAGACTCAGATATCTAACAAGGGTCAAATTGAAATGCAGGTAGCAACAAGGGGATAATTTGGCTTCATATCTTAGGCACTTAAAATTCTGTCTGTAGCTGTTTGGATAATCAATGTTACATTTCACTTGTTTCCTTCTGGTGATCACTCTTGGAGAACATGTATAACTCACCCAAACCATCTATTTTTACACAGTAAGTACATTAGGTCCATTCAAGCCACACAGAGAGGTGGTTGTGAGGGAGGAGCTGTGTGTTTTTAAATATTCCACTCTAATTGGTGCATAGTGTAACAGTGCAGCAGTGAGTCACTCGTAATTCAGAATCTGTTGAGGCTGGAATAGAGCCAGTCTATTTGAGCCTTCTTTGAAGGACACCTTGGCTGGCCACAAATGAAAGCTTTTCTCAGCCTCCTCTTCCATGAGTAATAATGAGTCTCTGACAGTGTTTGGCAGGAGGTATTTGTTATGGAGATTTTGACAACAAATCCCCCACTGAGCTGGGATGGCTGTGCCCCAGAACACCTCAGTAGACCTCCGGGCTGCCCCTAGCCTTGGCCCTTGCTCCTGGAACACTGGCTGGCGTGTCTGATTTTCTGTGGCAGTGGCTGAATGAAATATTGTTGTGTTAGCTATTAGTTCCAAGCTGGGAAAAAAAATCTTAATGTTGGTTCCTCACATGGAAAATGTGAATGAAGCAAATGTTTCTTGACCCCAACATGTCTGCTAAAAATAGAAGGGTAGTCTGGATCTCTCTATGGCTCATGCACACGTGCGAGCACACACATATGCACATATACACACACATACAGTACATGTATGAATATATGCACGACACACAGCTGGCTAGCAAGGTCTTTGTCTTCTTTAATATCAACTAATGTTTGAGCTTTAGTCCAAGGAGGAAGTAAACACTCTCCTCTCTGACATTTGACTGAGAAGCAAACCAAGAGCAGATTAACTCCTTTTGTGTCTTCTCCTCATCTCACTTGCTAATAGGCTTTCTCCATCAGCAACTGTGGTGGCGCGTGCCCATTTGTGACAGCCAGATTGTGATTGCGCTCCTCACTTCCCTTCCGGGAGCCAAGTAGTAATTACAAGCCATTGGATCCAAAAGCATCTGCTGTGAGAAAGGCACAGAGTTTCCATTTTCTCTCTGTGCAGCATACTGAGCAGAAATAATTTGATGTGTGATGTTAGGACCATTAATTTAATAATAATAATAAATGCTTCTGTAGAAGTCGCCCTACAAGGGGAGCTGGTGTGATCAGCAGATGTTAACCAGTTAGTGAGTTGTGGCTGTGGCTACAGATCATTCGTGCTCCTGTTTCCTAAATGGTCTGTAAGAAGATCTGGCAGCAGCCCCCAGTGGACCCCAAGGTGCTGGACCTGGGATGATTCTTATGATGATGTGTCTATTGTCAAGGTTCAGGGCCACCATTCCAGGCTACTTCAGAGTCTTTCAAATGCTCTTACCTATCTTACTTAGCAAGGTTGTCTTTCACCTCCCCTTGTGTTGTCCTGGAACTGGAAATCTTGAACAGACAATTGGAAACTTTTTTTGCAAGGGCAGGGAGGTGGGACTGCAGTGCAGAGCCATGGAATACTGGACATGATATTGATAAAGAGAAGTCTGACATGGAGCCTATGTAATGGGAATGCTAAAGAAAGAATTTTCCATATGGCCCTTTGTGTGTGTGTTTATTTTCAAGATTCTCTGCTCCTTTTTGGAGAAAAGGTAGGGGAACAGTCTACATAGCCTACTGTGAACAAAGCCTAAGTGTTTTCAGTTTGGATAACATTGAACCTTCTGGCGAGAATCTAGCTTTCCCTCCAAAGAGACATGGCTTATAGAAAACGAGCAAGAAGACCTCCAAGCAACAAATAGATTTTTCTTTCTGATTCTATTCATTAAATATACAAACATTATCATTATTCACATTATTATTATTATTTGATACTAGGAACTGAACTCAGTAAATGCTGTTTGTTTGAGCTATATTTCCAGTCCTTTTGCTTTTTGTTTTCCTTTTAGACAGAGGCCTTCAGCTTTTTCCCTGGGCTGGTCACAAACGCTGATCCGCCCATCTCTTTTTGGATTATAGGAAATCTTGGATTACAGGTGTGAACCACTGTGCTTGACCTAACTCCACATTCTCGATGCTTTCTTAGAATAAGGGTTGAAGGACGCACAGGATTTTCCAGTTTGGAGCTGGGAGGCAAGTGAGGCAGGCAGAGGGCAGTGATCTAGGCACAGAAATCCACCCCTCCCTTAAGGGGAGCCATTTTCTCCCACTAGGGTAGAATATGGCGTGTGTGCTAGAATAATGGAAAAGCTTGGAGACCATCAGTTGTCCATTTTGTGGGGAGTAACTGCCAGATGGACATTTCTGCCTTGTATGATATTACTGGTGAACAGGGGCTCATGCACGCGGCTCACTTGTGTGAGCTTGTACAAGTTTCTAGGATTTTCAACAGCTTCTTTTTCTCACCTGTTAAGCAGGGCGTCATGATGCTGCTTGCTTGAGAATATTTTAAGTATGTTTTATTTGGTGCCAGCTGATGAGGGACGGACGAAAGAGGCAGGAAGAAGGGGCAGCTAAGAATTGCTCTTGTCAGTTGTCTGCCTGTCCATCCTCAGGTCCCAAAGTATAGAATGAAGTTGCAGATACTTTGTCTGGTTTCCTACTCCACAGTGACCTCTGCTGGACTCTGTGATTCTCAACACATATTGGGGCCTAGGCCTAACTCTTTTTTTTTTTTTTATTTAATTTTTTATTGTAAAGATACTATACAGAGGGTTACAGTTACATGAGCAAGGTAATGAGTACACTTCCTATTGAGCATTGTTACCCCCTCCATTGTTTTCCCCCTACCATCCCTTCACTCCCTATCTTCCCCGAGGTTCTTTTTTTTTTTTTTTTAATTGTGATTAAGTGATTACATAATTTCCCGAATTTCACAGTATTGTGGAATAATGATGCTCATTTAAAGTCACAAGTTCATTCTAACTTTCCTGGAGCAAATTGTCTATCATAGTCTATAACATATAACGGTGTACACATATGCACCGTACATGTGATCAGCAGCATGGGGATATTTAGTAGTGGTTCGACCAGATGAGTGGGAGTTCTTTGTTTCTTAAGTCCTATTAATTTTGTTGTATCACCTAAAATTTTGGATTTAGCATCCACTTATCAGGGAGACCATGTACTGTTTGTCTCTTCGCTCTTGGCTTACCTCGCTCAACATGATTCCTTCTAGCTCCATCCATTCCTAGGCCTAACTCTTAAGTCTATGTATCTGCATACCTGGTTAAAGGCACCATCCACACGGAAGAATTGTCTGGAAGAATGAGCTAGATAATGCATGTGGTTCATGTGAGACAGGACCCCTTCTGGAGGGAGCGGGGGCCAGGCTAGCTCCTGTGATCCTTGGCTCCTGGCATCTGCTCCTCTGTCTCTTTTCCCGTGGCATGGGAAGGGGAATCCTTGCTGTAATCATCCTTCCAGGAAAATGTGTTGACAGTAACAGATCCATGACAGGTCCGGAAGTGTCATGTCAGTGTGGAGTGCCATATTTCCAAAAGGATGACACAGAAAGGTAGATTCTTCCCTTCTTGGCCCCATACTGGTCTTTGGAATTCCTTTACTGTATTCTCTCTTGAGTTTTAAGTTCTGTAGAGGAATTAAAAGTTAAAGCACCCATCAGGAATAGCTGTGAGGTGTGAAGCCTGTGGGTCACACACAAGGTAAGTGTCAGATCTGAGTGTTAGTTTCTGGGGTCTAAGACACTTTCACATGTTTAGCCTTCTTTGTGCACAAAAGCTTGTATCATTAAACTCAAGTCATTACAGTAGTTATGCCCTCTTTCACAGGGTAGGAGCTGAGGTGTAACAAGGCAACTGTGTGGTTCTAGGCCACTCTCTCCTGGCTCAGAGGCAGAGGCTGTGACTCTGACTTCAAGTCCCCGTCTTTTATTTACCACTATGCTAAGGGAAGGACCTTGCCAGAGGAAAACCTTTCTGAGTTCCATAATAAATGTTAATTTTTTGTCTATAAACTCTTGAGTATCTACGCATAAAGTGCCGTCTATCCATTGCATGGGTACGGGATTTCGAGAACTAAGTTATTTTGGTCCCTGAAGGAAGTATGTTTCGAGATGATGGCCTCACAGAGTGACTACAGTGAAATAGCTCAAAAGCAGAGAAAAACTCCCCCCCCCAGACTAGGAGTGAGGTCTTTAAAAACAAAGTGAAGTAGGGGAAATGACAGTGAGGTGATGATCAGGATGAGGATGCAGACAGAGGTCAGAGGCTGTGGAAGAATGTGTTGGGAAACCAGGTGCTAGTGGCTCACGCCTATAATCATAGTTACTCAGGAGGCTGAGATCTGAGGATCACAGTTAGAGGACAGCCTGGGCAGAAAAGTCTGCCGAACTCTATCTCCAATTAATCAGCAAACTTCTGGACTGGAAGCATGACCCTAGTGTAGAGTGCCAGGTGAAAGCAAGAAAGCCAAGTGAGAGCATGAAGCCTGGAACTCAAGCTCTGATACTGGTACAACAAGAGCAACAACAAACAACTGGAAAGAAAAGCTTGTATTAGGAAGCTGGGAAAGGATTGCAGAATAGGTGCAGCTTCCCTTCTGAGCCACAGTAAGCTGGTGACCAAGTATCCCTCTGTGGACTGTGGACTCTGACTTAGTATAAGTGGTGCCTTGGCATGGTGGGATGTGTCAGCTGACCACATGTCCCTCCCTGGGCTTCAGCTCCGTGTGTGTGTGTGTGTGTGTGTGTGTGTGTGTGTGTGTGTGTGTGTGTGTGTGTGTGTGTGTGAAGCTGGTGGCATGAAGAGAGGGAAAGGGCTCACCTTAACTACTACAAGTTGAGGGGACATCTTTCCCAGTTTCCTTCATTTGTTTATTGGACTTGTCTGTGTTTTCTTCTGGCATCTGAACCCAGGTGGATGGACTTCGGCATCTCTGTGGGTCAGCAGTAGAGGGGCCTCCGCGGGACAACTCGTGGGAAATCCAGACTTACATTCACTTTCAGGACAATCAAGGTGTGACTGTCACAATCAAGCCGGAGCACAGGGTGGAGGACATTTTGACTTTGGCATGTAAGGTAAGCGATTGGCTGCAGAAATACACTTCTGAATAGAAACAATTGTTACTTATTGTACTCCTCCTTTGCTTTCTAATTTTATGTGCTATATTAGCATACGTGTTGATTTGGATATGAATTGATGTGCATTGGGTTCCTCCATTCATTTAGAAGACAGAGTGATCTCTTGCCTTGGTTGAAGAGCTTGAATTATTCCTCTTAATTTTTAATTACCTTTAGAATGATCATGGCCCTGTTGCTGTTTGAGGTAGAGTTGATTTTTTTTATAAAAGAGGCATAAACTAGGAAATGGTTTGATGCAGCACTAAATCGCCTTAATAGGTTTTTCCAGATTAAACACGTAACTTGATATGATTCAGTTGCTCCATTGAGACTGACAGATCTTTTATTCAAATTTTGTGTGTGTGTTCCAATACTGAGACTTGAACTCAGGTCTTGGAACTCTTGCTTGGCTTTTTCACTCAAGGCTGCCTACTGTGTCACGTGAACTACACCTCCATTTCCAGCTTTTTGTTGATTAGTTGGATAAGAATATCATGGATATTTCTACCTGAGCTTGCTTTGAACCACAATTCTCAGATCTTAGCCTCTTGACAAGTGAGGATTATAGCTGTGACTAGACTTTGTTTCTAGTCTGAAATCTAAGTATAGACATTTTGAAGACAACCCACTGAAAGGAAATCCACTCAGGAAGAAGAGACCAGCAGCTGTGGACCACCAGGTGGCATGGGAGAGCTTCAGTATTTAGGTTTCCGAAGAAGGCACACTCAGATAAATGTAATGGGAGAAGGCATTTAGTGCTGGGTAACTCCGCCTCATCAACACTTAATGGAAAATCTTCATTTCAGTCTTTTGCACTTTGACTTGAGGCTTTAGTACACTGTGCATTTAGTTTGCAGTTTATGCCCTCATGAGCACAGATGCCTTTTGAAGCATGGAGGGTGGTTGTTACTTTTTTTTTTTTAAACCACTGTGCTATTCTATATCAGTAATATGAACTAATAAAATGATACCTTTTCTGAAAGGGGTCAGATGTAGCAGGTCAATTAGTTCCAACTGGAGCAAAGGCTGAGATAAATTTCTCACTATTGCAAATGTATGAGAGAGAAAGAGAACCTCTGTATGTGTGTGTGTGTGTGTGTGTGTGTGTGTGTGTGTGTCTGCGTGTGTACACTTATACTTTTTCCTGTTGAAAAGCTTTTGGAGCAGAGAACTAAGAATTCTCAAGTCTTTATCACCTGAGATTGCTCACACTACAGATTTCTCTCTCTCTTTTTTTTTTTTTTTGGGTCCAGTCGTGGGGCCTGAACTCTGGGCCTGGGCGCTGTCCCTCAGCTCTTCAGCTCAAGGCTAGCGCTCTACCACTTGAGCCACAGCACCACTTCCGGCTTTTTTCTTTTTGCTTATGAGGTGCTGAGGAATCGAACCCAGGGCCTCATGCATGCAAGGCAAGCGCTCTACCGCTGAGCCACCTTCCCAGCCCCAGATTTCTCTATTTCAGTCATAGGAAGCAACTTTAAAGTTTGCTACCCCAGTACATAAAGAGATGGCACGGCTAAGATGTGAAGATACATCCAATGAGATATTGTCAGCCTTGATGTCATAGAAGTCAATCTTTTGTGGAAAATCACTATCATTTAGAGAAAACCTTAAGAAATAATTCGTTGTTCCTTTTATTCTTTCTGGCACATTTAATTTTGAGCTCTTCCATAGTTTTAAACTCAGCAAACTTATATGCAGCCTTTTTTTTCCTTTTTTAGAGATTTCTACTTTGATTTTCAGTGAGCCTGCTGAGTAGTGATGAATTTGGAAAGAACATTTAAGCTCTGAATAACTGACTTTTCCTTATAGATGAGACAGTTGGAACCCAGTCATTATGGCCTTCAGCTTCGAAGACTAGCAGATGAGAGTGGAGAGTGGCATGCTCCTGCTCCCTCTGAGTACATGCAAGAGCAGGCAAGTGGCATTTGCTTTGGTCAGACAGTCATTCCGGCCAGATTCATGGACTTTGCATTCTGAAAAATGTAATTCTGAGATGGAACATCAGTGGCTCATGCCTGTAATTCTATCTACACAGGAGGCTGAGATCTGAGGATCATGGTTCAAAGCCAGCCTTGGCAGGAAAGTTCGTGAGACTCGTCTCTCCAATTAACCACCAAAAATCTGGAAGTGGATCTGTGGCTTAGGTAGTAGAGAGCTAACCTTGAGTACAGAAGCTCAGAGACAGTGTGCAGGCTCTGAGTTCAAGCTCCGGGAAAACTTCAAATTTGACATCTGGTTTGGAAACAGTCCTTGGCTAAAAGGGTATCTTACTAGCACTTCTTTTTTTCTTTTTCTTTTTAACTTTTTTTTTTTGTGCTAGTACTGGGGCTTAAACTTAGAACCTGGCTACTGTTCTTTAGCTTTTTTTCTTCAATTCTTTTTTTTTTTTTTTTTTTTTTTTTTGGGTCCGGTCATGGGGCCTGAACTCTGGGCCTGGGCACTGTCCCTCAGCTCTTCAGCTCAAGGCTAGTGCTCTACCACTTTGAGCCACAGCGCCACTTCCAGCTTTTTTCTTTTTGCTTATGTGGTGCTGAGGAATCGAACCCAGGGCCTCATGCATGCAAGGCAAGCGCTCTACCACTGAGCCATCATCCTAGCCCTGTTCTTTAGCTTTTTTACTCAAGATTGCCATTCTACCACTTGAATCACACCTCCACTTCTAGTTTTATGGTGGTTAATTGGAGATGAGAGTCCTGTGGACTTCTCTGCCTGGGTTGGTTTCAAACTGTGATCCTGAGGTCTCAGCCTCCGGAGAAGCTAGAATTAAAGGTATGAGCCACCAGTGCCTGGCTCTTTTTTTCTTTTATTATAATGAAAATATTGAAGTAATTTTCTAAGGTATCGTAATACCAAATCCTCTAATTCTGCTGTTTCCACTTTCTGTAGGTTTATGATGAGATAGAAATTTTTCCACTCAGTGTCTATGATGTGCAGCTCACGAAAACTGGGGACGTGTCTGACTTTGGTAAGTGGAAGGCCTGGGTTGCCCCGTTATCTTTGGATATCACTCTTCCCTTTTATCTTCATATTTTCACTTTCAGAATTTCCATTCTTTTTTCTTTTTACTACTTATTTGTATTAGCAGGTGAGAAAGAGATATAGTATTAGTATTAAGGGGAAAATGGCAAAGTAATAAAATGATTATAAAAATTGAGGAGGGGGCACAGGAGTGGAGGAAAGAAGCTGGGGATGTGCCTCAGTGGTAGGGTGCTTGCTTAGCTTGCATGAAGCCCTGGGTCAATTCCTCGGTACCACATAAACAAACAAAACAAGACAGAAGTGGCACTGTGGCTCACCTGGTAGAGTGAGTGCTAGCTTTGAGCCAAAAGAAGCTCAAAGACAGTGCCCTGGCCCTGAGTTCAAGTCTTAGGACTGGCAAAAAGAAAAAGAATATAGTAAATGCAGTCATTATATTCAATGTACAATGTAAAAAATGAGCTATGTAACTTGAGGGTAGAGGATATGTAACTCGAGAGTGGGAGAAACGGAGGAGAATGAAAGGAGGGGAGACATTGGTCAAGATGCATCGTACTCATAACTTGACTTACAGAATTGAAACCCATTGTATAACTGTTTCATAATAACCTTGACTTACAGAATTGAAACCCCATTGTATAACTGTTTCATAATAACAATAAAAGCTGGGAGCTGGTGGCTCACACCTATAATCCTAGCTACTAAGAAGGCTGAGATCTGAGGGTTGCAGATAAAGCCAGCCCACGCAGGAGAGTCTGTGAGACTCTTATCTCCAATTAAATCACAGAAAAAGCCAGAAGTGGCGCTGTTGTTCAAAATGGTAGAGTGCTAGCCTTGAGCAAAAGGAGCTCAGGGACAGAACCCAGACCCAGAGTTCAAGCCTCAAGACTGGCAAAAATAAATAAATAAATAAATAAAATAAAAAATGAGAAGAAATTAGAAATGATGGTGGTGGTGAAAACAGCATGTATTTACTCTGTTGTCAGGTGTTGCTCTAGGCAGATTAACTTTTTTTTTTTTTGGTGCTGGTCGTGGGGGTCTGAACTCTGGGCCTGGGCACTGTCCCTCAGCTCAAGGCTACCACTCTACCACTTGATCCACAGCACCACTTCTGGCTTTTTCTGCTTATGTGGTGCTGAGGAATCGAACCCAGGGCCTCATGCATGCAAGGCAAGCACTCTACCACCTAAGCCACCTCAGCCCCTCTAGGCAGATTAACTTCTGACTCACACAGGTAGGCTTTGTTCCTAGTGTTTGTTACCCGTCTGGGATGCTGCCCTCATCCCCCCCCCCCCCCTCCCTTCTCCCTGAGCATGAGAGGCTGGCACTCTACCATCTGAGCTACCCTTCTACTGCTGGATTTTTGCTGGTTAAATTGGCGATAAGAGTCTCACAGGCTGGCTTTGAACCCCAGTCCTCAGATCTCAGTCTCCTGAATAACTAAGATTACAGATGTGAGCCATTGACACCTGGCTCTAAAGTTTTGACTCTTGAAGGAGTCTTGTGTGATTGTTTCATCTCTCTCGTCCTGAGTTTAACCATTAGGGGTTATCACTAACATTTAGTATTTCATTCTCTTGGTCTGCAGTTAAACTTTTCTTTGGATTCCTGTAGACTTTGCTTATGTCTTAAAGTTTATTTCTACCTTTTATTGTTTTGGGCCATGTGAAGTTAGTGGCTTGATGATGATTAGTGAACATCTCCTTAAGAAGAATTATTGTAAAATATATTGATTTAGCCTATTTTCCTTAATATCAGTTCAAATTAATGAAATTAATATGTT